GAACTGGAGCACCGGTTCTGAGCAAACTATATCAGATGCTGAAAACCGTTCAAACACATGCTTGGAAAGAAAAAAAAAATCAAACTTCCATCCCCTAATACTAATTAAGATGCCAGTCTTTCCTAACCTTGTAATGTGCTTAAGCTTTACAAAAATAAATAAAATTAACCCAAGAAGAAGAAAGGAAATTTGAGACTAAATTATTTCATTTTTGATAGTTACAATTGTAAGTGGAAAGTTGTTCCATAATGAAGTTACTCAGCATGATAATTCAGTATTTTTATAGAATAAATTTTGTAATAGTATTGGTATAGGTATATACACCTACGCTTTCTCATACAGGTGAACTGTCACCCAGTAGAGACAGCTTTAAAATTCAAAATTTGACAAGAAATCAAAATATCAAACGTGGTAGAAAAAGCCGCAAAAGGTAACAGGAAACCACTTGGCCATTTGCCATTTTTATGCTACAGCCACTCATAAATATATTTCTACATCACTAGACTATATTTTGTAAAATGTGTTGGCTTTTTTTTTTCTTTTTTCTTTTTTCTTTTTTTTTAATGAACAGCCAGATACCATATCAGCTATCCAGGAACTGTGTAATCATCTTAATCTCATTACTTCATTTTTCTTCATCTTTTTTCCTACTACAAAGAGTTATCTGGAATACAGCTGCCTACCTGGAAGCTATTTTCCTTATAGCTAATATAGCTATAAACGTTAATCACAAAGAAGCTACTAAAAGATACAGATTTTACTCTTGCCTCTCTCATTGATGAGTTATACAGCATGCGTTATTGAACTTGCTCTTTGCGCATGAAAACTACCTGTACTGTCAACCTCAAGATAAGCAACCACGTATATGCAAGACACTGTCAAGACAGGTTTGAATAAACCCAAATATACAGTAAGACAATAAGGCTACTTTTAAAAATGACTGACTGTAGCACGCAGCTTGCGACTCTGCTTAAGCCTTGGACACAGTGCAGTAAGTGAATTCAAGTGCATGAGATGAACCTTTTTGGGCAGGAAGCACATTTGTACACAAAGCAAGCAGATTTCAGATACAGTTGGTCTTTTTTATTTTCTTTATAAAGAAGATACAGAATTAATTTTTATTAATTAAGAAACGTTTTTCTAAACAAATCAGTAACTTAAAAGCATAACGCTATCAGTAAAAATAACTTTGGAGTTAACGTCTCCATGCTATCATCCAGAACCTGTTTCCAGCTCTAAAGAGGACTTTCAAACACAGTGGCAGACCATGAAATACTATACAATTTGGTGTTATCCAGTAACGAGTTACGGGAATTGTCTCACTGCAGACTTCCTGAAATGAAGTTGCAGATAGCTTCTAACTCAAAAAGATTTCAGGTCATGACAGAAAGGATAATCTGATATATACCACAGATATATCTGACAATTTTATTTTCGTATGTTTAACAAACTGCCTGAAAGCAATGGATGAAACAAATTCTAGTAACGAAATCTGATTAAGAGGGGAAAAGAAGAAAATAGCTAGGTGCACCACGAGATTGTAGCTTAACAGAAATGACTTGAAACATGAGCAAAGCAATGATTTAGCCAGCTTGGCCGTTTCTGTACCTCAGAAGCAAACTCTACATGCCTCTCCACCACTAGGACCTGCTAGCTCCTCTTTGTCTCTCCAGCAGGATGACAAGAAGCAGACCCACTTTCCTAACATCCACAAGACTATAGTTGTGCTCAAATACACAGAAACTGTAACAGAATTTCTGAGAAAATATACCACTGGTCTCCCTATACATGAGACAGTTTGGAATATATTAACCTTAGTGTTCTGGACTAACAAATAACCTCATAAATTAATGTTATGGTGAGTACAAAAAACCAGTCAATAAGCTAGCCCCTAAATATGCTAAATGGACTTTATTAGTTGTTTCATAAGCTCCTGTGAAATTTGTGCATGACGCAGCCCACAGGAGAAATTTAAATATGAATGCAGATGACTTCTCCATATGTCTCAGTCCATATCACCTTCATAGAAAGGTTTAGTGCAGGTTTCCAGTTTGGAAACTGAGTTGTACACAAGTTCACTGCAATCCTGGAACCTGTTTCTTTCTCCTCATACCTCCCTCACTTTACCATCCTATGCAGGAATGGGGGTTAAACAAAGTCTCTGAACCACCAGATCTCCCCATTTTGTCTCCCTCTCTTTATATACAGGTAAGAATATTTAATCTCCAAGAATGGAACAGATTACAGGCCCAATAGGCCAATAAGTCTTCTGAAAGAGAAGAGACAACCAGTTCTCTTAAGGATAGCTCCACTGACAGAGGTACCAGATTCAAAAGAAAACAAGTCTTTAATAAGTTTAGTTCAATTCAGATAAAAGGCAAGGACTGAAGAAGACAGCATTTACCACATACTCTATAAAACAGGCTACAATATTCTTCTGGTATGTCAATAATGGGCAATTTTGGAGAAATACTGTAAGTGGAACTACATTACTTTCTGCAGCCACTACCTCATTGGCCCCACTTCACATAGCGGAACTCAACCTTATGGTACCAGGAAAAATAAAGTTAGTGAAATGCAAAAGGTGGTCCTGAAAGTAAATATGCATAGAAATAGGACTAACTTTGAGATATTCACCACCTCCTATCCCTTGCCTAAAATGCAATTTATAGCTTCATACACAGCTGAAATGGACACAAGAGGGCGCCCTTAATATAGGGCACAGTCCTATGGCCATGAGTGTCAACAGTAAAAATCTGCTTGGTCGAATATTATGGGATCCCCCTATTCTAAAGGGAAATGGGCCAGATTTTTTTTTTTAAGCTTAAAAGTACAAGACCCGTCAAGACTCAGTCTCAAAAACTATACTATACTACAGCATACAATGTGTTCATACATTTCCTTATTATTAAACTTTGGTCAACAAACACAAAAAGTTCTGTAATAATAATGCACAATCTATTCTTAAGTCCTGGCTGCCAATACAGAGTCTAATGGTACTTATGTGTGTCCAGGAAGATACTTACTATTATATTACAACAAAATCAAAGACAAAATGTGTTTCAGACTCTGTGATTAATACAGATAAGAAATATATATCACTTCACAGACTAGGTGCTTGAAGGGTTCAGCAAACAGAAATCTTCAAGTGTGTCCAAACTATGTGAAAAATTATACAGAAACATGATTATCGTAGAGTGTTAAATACAACTCTTACATTTGAACAGAACTGTAAGACATTACAGACAGCTCACGTGTTTTCAATGTACCATGTGTCTGTAAAGCAGTGTAATTCAGTTCAAGTTGGGACTTATTGGTACCTCACAGGATTATAGGCCACCATGAAGAGTGAGAAATTCTAAAATTTAACAATATGCTTTACCTGTGAAATAGTCGTAAGTCTTTTAATATAAGTGAAGATACATCCTGGCAATTAACTATTGCTTTCACCTGATCTTACTTCTCAGGATACAAGATGCTCAATTTTCTGATTGATTAAGCAAGGTAATTTGCTTTAAACACCGATTTCAATGGCACAGTTTAAAAGCAGTCCAACACCTTTACTACTGAAGGCCTGAAGCCATAAGGGGAAATTTTTGATATATTTAGGAAAAAAAAAAAAAAAGAGAGAGAGAGAGAGAGAATTTTACCCCCAAACCTTCCAATTATTCTGTCAGAAAGCTTACAGACAAACTCTCAATATAAGACATTATTTCTCACCTGTATTACTTCTCAGTAATTAATCATTTTTCGAAGAGCATCATAGCATTTCCATTTGTCTGGGATGTAGAAAGGCTCAAAGATGTGAGGAAAAGGAGTGTCATAGCCACATACTCTTGAAATAGGAGCCTCTAAATTCAAAAAGCACTCCTCCTATTAACAGAAATATAGGATAAATGTTAGTGCGGCCATTATTCTCAAAAGTCTTGCATCACAAATTGAGGTCAAATGAACTTTGCCAGACTGACAGTCCTGGAAACTCAAACCTTCTATTTATATCACAGCATAAGTAGCCCAGACCAGAATAGTGCTTCCTTTTGCTCAAAGGTACATATTAAAATAACAACTTGTATTAATGTTATTTTCATTCTCAACATATGTGCTGCACTCAGTTGTATGCAGGTTATTTTTAGTACATCTGCTATACATCCAGACAAGTGCTGCCAAGAAACAAATATTGTAGGAACAAAGGAGTAAGAGTTTCTTGTCTGTGCCACTTTCAAACAAATATGAAAATTACATAATCTAAAAGGGTATATTATTTTTTGCATATAGGAACACCATAATCAAACTTATTTCAGTCTTTAAAGGCTCATTCTAAGAAGTGTTAAGCAGTTGTGGAACGGTATGAATTTGAACTCATACGGATTTGCATACCTTCAACACTTTTGACTCAAATCCATGTTCTACAAATTGCACACAATCTTTGCTCTGTTGAGAGCTCAGATTTGGCAACGACTGTGAGAGCTGCATTACTCAACCTAACAGGGCACAAAACATCACAAATACAGCACGCTAACCTGAGAGTGACCTGTGGAAACATGCATCAAGTGTTATCAGCTTTAATAACCAAATAAGTAATGGTATTTCAGTCTTCCTACTCTCCTAAGCAGCAGAGAGCAGGAACCTTGATAGCCAACAACAAATGGATACAGTAATAGTTTTGCCAGCTCAAACCGATGTCAATGCTAATTATCATCTCATTTTTTTCCCCATATCTCTGGCATATATATTCGCTTTCCAGATCAGACAAATGAAGGGACCAAATACGTCCCTTCTCCCTGGCCTCTCCTTCGTGGCATGCAACAACTAAGGCACCCTGGCCAACTTCCCCTCTACTTGGCTGAGCAAAATGGAAGGTAAAGTATGATCAGACACAGTCCTTTTCCATCAGGCCCATAAAGAAAACAGTCAGACAGCTGTGTTTTTCTGCAGCAAAGTGCTAAGTATTTTCTCAGACTGATGAACTGTTTTGAATGCAAGTTGCCTTGCAACCCATGGCAGCCTAGCTCTAATTTTCTATGCTTTCTATACATCATGATATATGGCAGCATAGAAAGTACTTATGACTATAGGTATATACAACCTGACTATAACCTTTTTCTCCAGCTACCTCTTCTGTGCAGTGTTCAGTGGCACACTCCTTCAAGGTAAACAGAAGTAAAAAATTCAGGAAGTTGTCTGGTTGCGCACAGTGTTGTTACATTTAACAGTGAACTAACCCACATAGACACTTCAGAATCTGAATAGCTCTGACGTAAACATATATGCAAACAGCATAAAGGTTTTTTTGAGACCCACTTTCCAGCACACTGTTGCTTTTTCTTGTCCAGTGAAAGATTCACATTAGTACAAAATGCTGGAAAATAGAGCGTACTAAATCCTTTACCTGTCCATGAGATAAATAGGTTTTCTATTTAGCAAAGTTGTGGTGTCCAACCCCAACCTGCTGGAAAGAAAGATATTTTATTTCTAATCAGTCCTCACTTCCCATGTTGTGACTGCCAAATAAGACCACCGCTTTGGGACCATCCAATTTTGGCCTGCCTGAACCAATTCTACACTGCTCCAGTTCTACATGCTCTTTTGCAGTAATTGTCATAGGATCATCAATGAGGAGACACCTTTGTTTCAAGTCATAACAAGCTCTAAGAGGACAGCCCATCCTAAATGAAGCCTGTAGAGGACATTTGTTACAGTTCCACTGAAAATATTCACTGCAATGTTCCCCATACGTTGGGCACGTGTGCAGAAAGCAGGGCTGCCCCTTCAGTAGACCAACCAGCAGAAAGTCCGAGAAGTGTTAGCCACTACAGGCAGATGGACTACTCTACTCCCCAGCATGAGCCCCAAGGCAATTTTTGCTGGGCTGTAAATATAAATTTCAGATGGTAAAGCCCAGTCATAAAAAAATAGTTGGAAGTATGCATTCTACTAATATTATCACTATTACACCTAATTTATAACAAAAATAAAGTCTCAAGACTTCTAAAACTCCATTTGAATTTTTTCTCCTAGAGAACCTAAAACAGCTGTTACAAGCACTCCCTCTGTTGTTTTAAAAATCAGCAATTTCCAAACTGAATTTTCAAAACCTTTCGATTTCAGCACGTACCTATCACTTAGCAGCTTTTAGAGCTTCAAGAGTTATGTGGATTTCCTTACCTCAGTACAGAAGTCAGAGAGAAAAGCTGAGATGGGCAAAGAGTGTTGCATTGTCAAACGCCACCCAAAAATGAAAAACTAAGAATGGTAGAAGAATTATTGCATATCTTTGAACTACTGTATGTGTGTATATGGGTAGGCACAATTCCTTTATTATTTTTTTCTGGAGGTAAGTGTGTGTGTGTGTGCCCACATTTTTAACTAAGTAATTTCACTGTATGAGTAAAGTACTTCAGAGAAAGAAAAAAAAAAAAAAAGACCCAAACCCCCGTGAAATCCATGAGAGAAGCACCCTACTTACACATTATCTGACTGAAGTCAACACAGCTTCATACCCAAGTGGTCCTTACTGCAATATTGTGTCACAAATAGAATTTTGCTTTGTATTAGTTTATCATGGAAAAAAGTAGCTTTCCTAACAAACTAATAAAATCTGTGTAATACACTGAAGAGACTTATTACACTATTTTTAGAGTATCATCAGTTTTAGAATGTATTTTTAATACCTTACCTAATGTCATAGGTAAGCCCTAAACACAAATATATGCTATTAGGCGGAGGATTATAAGAATATTATTGCTGCATACATTTTACGGATCCAGAGTTTGGGCCTGATGATATATTGATTATGGAACTTACTAGAATAAGCCACACAAAGTCAATGACCACAGTAACAACAGAAATGAAGCATGAAGATGATTCAATTTACAGTATTTAATTCATAGATTTACTGACAATATTTGTAAGAATACTGGAAATGAGCAAATTGCAAAGAACAAAAACTTGTAATACATTTATATAGTGGAAATAAAATCGTAATTCAGAAGCTGGAGCATAACCTTAATGTCAGCATAATGTATTTGAAAACAATCAAGAAAATGCACTTTATATTGCCTTTATTTTACAGTGGAGCAGTACTGTAAAAAAGTAAGAAACCTGATCTAGCTAAAGAGCTAGGCAAATATTTAACCCCGGCATCACGGTTCTCGTTCAAAACCTAATAAAATCAATGATGTTCTCATGACTTTCAACAACATCACAACAGGGTAGCCAGGTTTACCCCTGCCACATGCTTAACATTGAGTCCTAAAAGACAAACCAAAACAAAACAAAAACCCTCCACACACAAATCCACACGTTTTGCACATGAGAACAAGCTTAAGGAATTGCCCTAATAAGATCACTTAGGAGACACCTGTGTCCTTTTTAACCAAACCAGCTGATATATTTGGAAAAGATGTTACTTCTTTACCAGCTGTGCTTTGGATAAATTCAGGCATGCACATAAACCTTGTGCAGAATTGAGGCCCTTATTTTATCTACAATTAGGTTCGGAGCCAGTTCTGTCTAAAATGCAACTAATAGGGCTTATCAATTCAAGAGTGTTTGATTTCATTTCTGAAGTTTCCGGAAGAATATATTCAGTTGTATGCTTTAAATTCAAGCTAAAATTAACTTTTTCACAGAGATGCAACATATGAAACTGATTGCCTGATGGCTTTAACAACTGTAATCTGAGCAAATGAGATGATATTCTTAATTACAAGACATTACAATGTAGCTCAGAAAAATCATAGTGTTAGCGAGCATTATATGGCAATACAAATTTTTTTTATATAGTCTGTGGGCATATTTCAAACTCAACTCTCCTCTTCAGCTTGAAGGGCACCTAGTTCAAGTGATCTGCCTGCCAAATACCCTATCTTAGACAGATACTTGTTCACAGCTGCTGTACGCTATAAAATTTAGACTGTATGAGAAATAATAGTTCACCTAATGATGAATGTGATACTGCCGCATCTGCTGTACATATTGTTGTGCCAGATTTTTTGCACTTGTGCAGTCATATTATAAAGAAACAGGACTGAGAGTATTAAATAACCAATGTCTAAAGACTAGTAACAGACATCTATTGTACAAGCCTACCAGAACAAGTTTAGGGGAAACTATTTTAAAAATCTGACAGGTTTTGAGGAAAAAGCTTAGGAAAAAGTAAAAAAAAAAAAAAAATCCTTACAACTTAAATGTTTTTGGAAGTAAAGTAAGTATGGGGTTTCTCATTTGAGATAAAATGTTTTAAAGCCATTTTTGAAAATCTGTATGAAAGAGTCATACTTAGTAGAATATCTGCTAACTTTCAAAATTCAACCGGGATCAGAAGAAGTATGTTTTTGTTAGGAGTATGTACAGTTAAGAATGTAATAGTTGAAAATTGTTTTAGTTTAAAAAAAATCCACACAAAACAAAAGCATTCTTTTTCCCACTTCCCAACTCAAAGGGTCAAATTCTTGTTCCAGTTAACTCCATATGACCTTGGCCAATTACCTTCACTTGCCTAAATTTCACTCAAAGCTTCCTAGGAAATACATCATTATATACTATAAAGGCATTTTAATTGCTCACATTCTTTAATCTCTACATGTGTTGCTTACACAGGAAGACTTTTCAAAACAACTTAAAGAGTATAAGTTCCACTAAAAATATATTCTCAAAATTCATATCCGTCAGTCAAATGCATCTGTGACACACAAGTGTCACAACACTTCAAAACAATCTCATGCCTGATTTTTAGAATAGATGGAAAAAACAAGGACAAGCTACATGTTGCACGATCATATTTCAAATATATCCTCTGGTGTCTATAAATGACACTATTTCTAGTACGCTAACGTGCAAAACTTATTCCAAGGGTGTTTTTTTTTAACCTT